CATGCTAACGAGCTATTACGTACTTGTAAAGTAAAAGATGTGATAACAACTCTAAAACATAAATCATTATCCCAAACAATTTTAAATAAATATTTTATTTCATTTTAAATATTTAGTTTTACATAATATATATTTTTTTGTAATATACAGATGATTATTACTATATAGAGGCAACTTTCCTTAAGGCGGTAGTTAAAAAAAAATCTTATTTATAACTATCCCAAATTGGGACTATAATTTTTTATAATTATGTGCAGTTTATTCCTATATAAAGTATCACTATAGAGAGGTTTTACTGTATATATATACCAAGACCCAAAAAAAAGTATGAGAATACAAAACAAAAATTTTGAAAGAGAAGGCATAATGGGTTTAGGAGCTTCAATAATTAAGTATATATATTATTAGATAGGGAAAATGAGGCTGCTTTTGCATTATGTTCACTTGTTGCGTGGTTGTTGGGTCCATTAATGAAAGTAACATTTTAAAGAAATTGCAATGAAATTTCTTTGAATCGACAAAACAAATGATCATCATTGAACTAAAATGACATTTTACAAATTAATCCAATAGTATTTAAGTATGATTCTTAGAAAATTTTAGTAAAGACGTCTCTATATATNAAAAAAAAAAAAAAAAAAAGTGAGGTCTTCGTCAATAAATACAAACTATTGTAAGTCAAAAGTTAAAGGTATGGTTGCCTTTTGTTCTCATCACAATGAGTGGTTAAATTTGGTTTAAAAAAAAAAAAAAAAAAAGTGAGGTCTTCGTCAATAAATACAAACTATTGTAAGTCAAAAGTTAAAGGTATGGTTGCCTTTTGTTCTCATCACAATGAGTGGTTAAATTTGGTTTCCGAGTCCTATCAAATAATTCTTGATCATAGCCCTCCAAGCCTTATTAGCATTAAACTTTGAGCTTCCCGTCTTTCACTAAACCTAAGCGATGATGGTGATATAGATGAGTTCATTGAGGCATTTTGTTGAGTGATGAGTCAAATAAAGTATTATTAATTTCCGCAAGGTGACTTATCTTCGAAATTGACGAAGACTTAGCTTACCACTATTAGTATAGTAGGATGAAGTTGTAGAAGTTAATGTAGGGTGCACATTGTAAGGTTGTAGAAGTTAATATAGGGTGCACTTTGTAAAAAGTAAAAGTAGTTTTCTTAAACATCAAAACACTACCGTTTTGATGTCATGGCTCGATGTATAAAAACAAGCGAGTAGTTTTCATTCAGTTCAGTGGAAATATCATAATCGGTTTTCTAGAATTTTTCCTCTTTTCTCATTTTTCCTTTTTTCTTGCTTCTTGATTCCAAAGTCATTCAACCGCTAACGAAAGTATTAATAAAAGACCACCCTACTCTTCTGAGTAAATTAACCAACTCTTTTCAAAGATATTCTTTTTGAAGAATAAATGGGTGATCCACAAATAGTTGTTCATCGTTTAACACCAAACGAAAGTTCGGCTCATGAACAGAGGCAACCTTCCCTTCATCTCCTTTCTAGTGAGTTCACTCTTTTTCACTTGTTCTTTCGCATATTCTTTCAGGAATAATAGCATATTCATCCTTGGAAGTAACACATGAGTCCGTTAAAATAATAAATATTTCTCTTCCTCTTTCTACAAAGAATGTTTTATTTAAACCTAAGCACAAATCCCATATTCTCTCTCTCTCTCTCTCTAAGTTTGCATGCACGTTTATATGTCAAAGACTGCATGTTTTATATGTCAAACACTTTATAGATTGTTTTCGTCTATTGAATTTACACGTGCAGGAGAAAATTCCAACCTTTATCTCAACAATTGTGTGCCTCTTTATAAGGCTGCGTTAAAAGGTGACTGGACAAGTGCCAAAAAATTGTTAGAAAAAGATCGAACGATGTTGTGTTCCAGTATCACAAAGGGACACGAAACTGTTCTTCATATTGCGGCAGGAGCCAAACAAACTGGCTTTGTAGAGGAGCTGATAAAGTTGATGCAAGCGGAAGACCTGACTATGCCGGACCATAAAGGAAACACGGCCTTTTGTTGTGCCGCTGCAGCCGGAGCTATTGGAATTGCTAGGATTATGTTGAAGAAGAATCCCAATCTTTTGACAATCCGAGGTGGTGGAAAGATGATGCCTGTGTTTTTGGCTGCTCTATTAGCACAGGAAGAGATGACATATTTTTTATATGATGAATTATCTCAAGCAAAACATGTTTTCAAGTGGGACGACAAAGTTGCTCTATTTTTCACTTGTCTCACCGATGGTTTATATGGTAAGACTATAAATTCCAATTCACTTTTTTTCATTACATTAACTTTTTTTTTTTTTTTTTTTTTTTAAAGAAAAAGTTGTCTAATGTGTGTCTTAAGTGTACATGTTAAATACCCTATAAGATATATATTTTTTTACTTATTTTGATATATATTGTTTACAAGAAGATAAAAAATCAAAATTTTTAATGTATTGGTATACAAACTTTTTTGTTTTCTATTTTTCTTAGCACTATGTAATTTTATAAAATATTGACATGGAAATAACAGATTGATATGGTAGCCAAGAAATTTTGGATTAAATTGTAATGTATAATAAGTTTAAAACATGATTAATGGTATTTATCTTAAAACTTTTTTATTTCATACTTTAAGTGACATGTCATTATACGTAATATTGTCATATCATGCAATATCACTTTATTTATATGTTAGTGGTAACATATGATAACATATCATAAGGCATAAAATTTGAGATTGATATCATTATTCTTATTATATATATAACCATCAATCCAATAAAAGTATAAATTCTAAATAATAATATATATTAGTACAGTAATATTTCTCATTTCAAAAAGTTAAAAAGCCAACTGCCCTACCTTGACTTTAGGAATTTTTTGAAATAATTATTCAGCAGGGTTAGTACTATTCACACCCCTGTAACTCGGAAATTACGGACTGACACAACTTTTTTCAAACATTACACTTTACGCCCCATCTTGGTAGTTTTGTTTATAACTTTAATACCCATTACAGTGAATTAGACCTTTATCTATATAATTTTCGAAAACAAATTTTCTGCAAAAAAATGTTAACATGCTCTCAATTTTTTTGCTTACAATCAATTTATTGAATTGCTCAGATCTCGCATTAAAAATGCTAAAGGATGATTCAGAATTAGCTGTGGCTCGTGATTTAGATTGTGAGACTGCCCTACATATTTTGGCCCGAAAGCCTTCAATATTTTCCAACAAAAATCAAGGTCTATTCAAGAGGCTTATCAACTCATGTTAATTTCTTCAACACTTAACTTCTGTTTATCTATGATTTTAGTAAACCATTAAATTAATTAGTAAAAATCTTATTGCATGCCTTGATTCTTAGTCTCAGGATTAATGAAGTTGAATCGCAACAAGGATTTCGAATCAACTCCAGCTCTTCAATTAGTCAAATGCCTGTGGGAAGAAATGTTAAAACAAGATGACTCGGAGCTAGCGAATCTAACACGAACACCTTCACAATTCATTTTTGAGGCAGCAAAATTCGGAAATTCCCAATTTTTGGTTGAGCTCATTGGTCGTTATCCTGATTTGATGTATCAACTTGATGAAAAGGGTTTCAGTATATTTCACATTGCAGTTCTATACCGTCATGCCAATGTATTCAACCTAATATATGAGATAGGTTTAACTAAGGAGTTATTCGTGACTTGTGAAGATGAAGTTCAGAAGGACAATATGTTGCATTTGGCTGCAAAATTACCACAACAAAGTCGAATTGCTATTGTATCAGGGGCAGCTCTACAAATGCAACGAGAATTATTATGGTTTAAGGTAATTAAATTTTCTGAATTCAATTATTGTCCTAATTTCAATTGTCATATTTCGAAATATAACATGTTTGATATCTATAGGAGATAGAAAAAATAGTGCAACCTTCCTTCCGAGAAAAGAAAAACTCAAATAACCAAACACCTCAACAGTTATTCACTGAGGAGCACAACGAGTTATTGAAAAGCGGAGAACAATGGATGAAGAATACTGCTCACTCATGTATGCTTGTTGCAACAATCATTACCACTATAATTTTTGCAGCGGTTTTTAGTGTACCGGGTGGTAACGATAGTAGTAAAGGATTACCAATTCATTTGAAAGAGACATGGTTTCAAGTTTTTGTCATATCAGATGCAATTGCATTGTCCTCCTCTTCTATCGCAATCCTGATGTTTTTATCGATCCTTACATCGCGGTATACAGAAGACGATTTTCTTGAGTCATTACCATTTAAATTGATGGTTGGACTCTCTGCACTCTTTGTATCCATAATCACCATGATGGTAGCTTTTAGCACAACTCTTTTATTAGCTTATCATGATAGCTTAAATTGTGTCACCATGCTTACTACTATAGTTGCGTCAGTACCAGCCACTCTATATATTATGTTGCATTATCCTCTTCTTGGAGATATATTTTGTTCAACATACCATTCTAGGTTTTTGTTTAAACCAAGTAAACCCATGTTCTGATTTGCCAGAACTTGAAAGTTTATTGTATTGTATCATTAGAACCTATTTATATCAATTAAGTTTTTCGATTCAATTATGCAGTAACTTTTTCCTCTAAGTAATTGTTGTTGGAGGCAGTGGTGGTGAAATTGTATTTGAGATGTTCATTACTTCATTTTCAATTCTTCATACATTATAGTATAATAAGATTATACATGTTGGGAATAAAAATCAATCGAAGCCCAATTAAATGAAGCACACGGAAGTAAAGAAACGGTCCATAATAAAGTAAATGGGCCAGCAATGAAATGTGGGTCACTTAAAAGTGTAATGTTATTTACGTACCAGTAAAATTCTATATGAGCTGAGCACCATTATTGATTTGGGGGTAACCGTTGATTGCGGCCTTTAAATGAGTTTGGGCAGGTCTACTATGGCCGATTCCACAGTGGCGCAAATTCATATTTAATTAATAACATCATAATTTATAACAAAAGTTCATGTTTACTCTTAAAATCCTAAAATCCTATGCCACCTCCGTTTTTAGGTGCATATTTGTAAGAGTAAATCACTTTCACCATTCGTTCTTGCCAATGCCTTCACCAGAAAGGAAAATGAACTGTTGGTTTATTGTCTTTTATTTCTGATATAGGTTGTTTATTTCTCTTTAAAGTAATTTATTTATCTTCTGTCTTTGAGAAATCTGTTTGTTGTTCTTATTGGATATCAGTGTTTTTGGTTTACTTTGATGATGGTTTAGGAATTGACCACAACTCTTAACTTTGTATAACACTGATAGACTGCGCTGCCACCAATGTGAAGCTTGGTAAAATCCAAAAGGACAAATCAATTCTTGGAATCTCTTGAAGCAGGAGGTGAAGTAATTTGAGAAGACGTATAGCCAAAAGCAGGCCAGACCAGATCGACTGTGCCACCACCAATGTGAGTCTGAAGTGTGATGGTCTAATGAGTAACTTTGATGTTGTTGTTGCAGGAAATTTGTCATTTCAGTTCTTAGAAGATGGTCAAATCCAAGTTTAGGTGCTCTCCTCTTCTCTCACACAAGCATTCTATTTCAATTTCCTTTGCTTATCCTATTAGTTTGGTGTGCGTACATACTGTTAAGTTATTTATTCTGTTTGAATTCTTCCATTTGGGGGTTATTTCATTGCTTTTTCTGGAATGAATAGATTTGAGAGATGAGAGAATCAGGGATACCCTCTAGAAAGATTAATCCGATCCATAATGATATACAGAAAATACAACATTTTTTTGTTACTCTAACGAACCATCTAGAGAAGTCAGTAAGTAGATGGGTACAGTAAGTAGATTGATGAAGAAGCAATTAATGCAAAAACACCTAGTTCATTATCAAAAGTACTCTTCTTCCGAGCATGCTGACTATTCTGCAGTGTAGTAGCAATCGATGAAGTACCATAAGGTTCTTGCTAACTCTTATAAAGTCTCGAATATTAAACCCATGATTAATTGCCCAATGTATTAGATTAAGTGCTTAATCACTTCGCAGTGCGTGTTTGATGAAAACACAGGTTATATTGTATGCCAAGTGATGGCTGCCCCTTGAAAGAGAGAAAGGAAGCTGCTCTGTTGGGCCCAAGAAATTAGTGCTCTACTCAGCTGTACACTTTTGTAGCTGAAGTGGGCTTTTTGCTTTCCTTCTCTATCGTATCACTTCCTCCATTGATTTTGCTAGTGGACTTTGCTAAAACTTGCGCTAAAAGTCAAATATAATATGCTTGTCAGATTGATATTTAGTGGGTCCAATGGGGCTCGATTACTAATTTTTTTATGATTGATATGTGCCTTGTAGATGCTATGTAAAACACATTGATGAAATTGCTATTATCCTGTGACATTTTCTGCTTCTGATTGTTACTTTGATTTCCTTATTAAGTCGTAATTTTTTATCTGCTAAACGTTGTGATCTCTGAATGTTTGATCTGAGAATTGTTTTGATCTCTGTACCTCTTCCATCTATTCGTAGGCGCCAAGTGTTAGGCAGTTTGATGGGAGTGGAGGTAAGAAATTTGAGTTTATCCAGTTTATGGGTATTGGATTTAAGTTCTAATGGCTTCAATTTGTCATGACAACAATTTACAGTTTTTAGAGGTTAATATTCTCCGCTTATGATAGCAAATGATACCTCTGGAAGCTGTGACTTGGTCCAATGTTTAGGGTTACAGATACTGTTTTTGTTTCCCTTGTCTGGAATGCATCGGTGTGACTGCACCTTATATTTGGTATTATTTGGAATTAAACATAATTTTTACTAGTGGTTATGTGATGAGACCCCTAGTGTGCTGATCTATTATAGGAAACATAAGGGTGTGAAGCAGGGGATTTTGGTGCAGTTGGCAGGAAGGTTCTTGTGTGTGAGGTGTTAAGGATGGTTTATGGAGTGGCAGATGGCATTAAGGGAGTGGATGATTGAAGAAGTTTGTTATGAAGAATAGCATAAAAAGGGAGACAGTGGGAATTGGGGGGATATCTGAAAAAGTAAGAAGGGGAAATTTGGCAGGGGAGGTGCTGGCCCTCAAAGTCCAACTGGTTCTTCTTATTTTACTGTTCTGTTCTTGTTATTTTGTTCTCGTTGGTGTTGATTTTCGTTGGTAGAATTAACTAGTGGATTGGCTGGAATTCAATCAGTAGATATATATTAATTTCGAATAGTGTTTGCTTGACTGTTCTAGGTTGCTTATCTGTTTTTATCTGAAATTGTTATCTGTGTTCGTTGTGGAATTCTGGAGTTTGTTAGTTGCTGGGTTCTGAGTAAGTGGTGACTGAAGGTGAGAGTCTGGGTATCTACCATTATGATACTATTTTTTTTATCCCTACAGCAGAATGTTGATTGAAAATATACATATATGAATTGTTATACCTATGTTTCAATCCTGAAAAACAAAAATGTTATGCCTGTGATATAGTTATTTACAGTAGAGCACAGCTGGTGTTTCTAATTTTTATTTATTTCTTTTTGTTAAATGTAGTTTTTCTAACAATTATCTATATTTTATTGTTCATATTATTGAAAATAACAGTGTGTTTGCTAGTTTAAATATTTAAATTGGGGCTCTAAAACCCTTTAAAATTTTGGTAGATTTAAAATTGATAACTAAATTTTTATCCAAAAAAAAAAAGATTGCTCTACAAACATGTTTGAAAGTTAATTCATGTTTCACCCGCTTGGTAAGTTGGAGAAGTTTCTTTGTGAGTACTGGTAAATTTAAAAAAATTTGCTAGTTAAGATTGTTTGACGATACTGTATACTATGAATTGATGCTTCTTGTAAATAATTCGAACTAATACTAGCTGCTTTTGTTTCTATTTCTAATTGTTCGAATTCTTTATTTGTGATGTAGAATATACTTTTAGTTAATATGTGCTTTCAACACACGGATTCCTTTTGATTTTCAGGTATGACTCTAGAAATTGTGTCCTGGAATGGTCGATATTTCTCATTGATAAAACTACTGACTACTGTAATTTCAACTTCATGAGTTACATATTCTCTTATTCGGTTTCTATGAATAAAATTCATATTGTATTCTACTGAATATGCAGTGGATCGATGGAATTTGTTGTGCCTCCAGCTGATTCTTTAGCTTTATCCCCCTGTCGCTCTGTGTGGTTTTCAGCTACCAGTACACTCAGTGACCAAATATTTGCTTTACATTGCAATTTGTTTTTGTGTAATTGTTTCCATGAATAATATTATGTTTGCATCTCTGTTTGTAGTTACAATCTTGTGGTAACATCATACCTTCACAAAGTTTCTGGTTAATTATATTTGCTCTTATTGAAATATCATTTTCAACCATAAAGTTTAATATATCTCAGTGTCATCATTGGTACTCTAGAGAAATTTTTACTGTGCATTTTCCATTTTGAGTCATCCACATTTCTGGAATCTGGACTAACACCAGAAAATCTAATGCATCAAAATTTGAGCTGATCCTTGCTTTTGATGAAGCTATCTCTCTTGGGCTCAAGGAAAACTTGACCATCGCTCAGGTTAAGCAGCGTGGTGAGATGGAGAGTGATGAAGAGAAGTTACACAAGCTGGTACCGCAAACAAGATCAATGAAACCAAGGATGTCATGATGCACAAAGCTAGTGAGGTTGACAAAAACAAGGTTCTTTTTTTGTAGATCTGCAGTGGTTCCATTTCTAATTGGTGCCTTCCATAACTTCTTTTGTTGTATTGCCATTTGAAACTCTTGTCATATATTCTGCTGATTGAGAAGAATAGAGGTGAAAAAGGAGGGTTTATGTCGTTGCAGTCAATGGGATCTGGAAGAATAGAAAGTAGCTTTAGTGATATGAGCATTTCTAGCGGTGGAGGTGGTTTTTTCAGTGGTTCTGGATTTGGTTAGAGCACTGATGTTTATTCCTTTTCCAGCAAGTCTAAAGGTCTGTGTCCTTTAACTAGAATGAATTCTATGAGTATGTTTCTAATTATTGATGGGTTGTGGATTTTGTTGACATTCATGCTATAAGTTAGCATATGAGCATGCATTGTAGCTAAATAATTGAGAATTTTCTTTTGAGTTCCTACACAGATAGGTTATCCTTTTTCTGTCTTTAAGATATCTGTTTGTTGCCTTTTTGTGGACATCAGCATAATGGATATATTTCAGGATTTCTTGATGATTGTTTATGAACTGAAGAGTATTCTTATCCCTTATATACTTTCATCATTAGGTCATCCACCTTCATCTGTCACAGCTCCTTCTAAGGGTCTTGGCATGCAGCTTGGTAAATCCCAAAGGACAAATCAATTCTTGGAATTTCTGAAAGCAGAAGGTGAAGTGATTCTTGAAGATGTGCAGCCAAAAGCAGGTCAGTCAAGATTAGTTGCTCCTCCACCAAATGATCCTATCACTTTGATAGTCGAGGAGAAACTCAATGTGACTTTGAAACGAGATGGTGGAATGGGTAACTTTGATGTCCAAGGAACTTTGTCACTTCAAATTGTAATCAAGAAGATGGTCTAATCCAAGTTCAGGTACTTCACTTTTCTCTATTATGATTGTGTGTCTCCAGGTGATGGCTGCCATTTTGTGTTGCTGCTGTTATATTTTCTTCTTTGAAGGAAAGATGCTTGACCTGTCTTCAATTGCTGAAGGCTTGACATTGATTTTCAGATTTGCCGTCCATGTTGTTGTTATTTCCCTGTTATTTATTACAATATATCCTGTGTTATTTCAGATCTGAGACTGGAGGGAATCCAGCCATTCTTTTCAACATCTATCCTAATATGAACAAAGAACTCCACCAATGAAAATATACTGGGCTTGAAGGACCCTAATAGGCCTTTCCCCACAGGCCAAGCTGGTGATGCAGGAGGTGTCGGTCTTTTGAAGTGGAGAATACAAAGTGCTGGTGAGTCAATGGTGCCGTTTTCTAGTGGGTTCAAGTCTTCCACTGAATTTTTCTATGTATATCATTTCTTTTCTAAGCTAAAAGCATTTATGTGGATTCATATATATTGCAGTCAACTGTTGGCCCTTTGTTTTTTGTATAACATTAATTTTAATTATATAAATTTATCTTTATAAATACAACAATTAGATTGAATTTTAATTTTATTAGAAGGTTTTAGTTCGTAAGCTAAAATAACACAGTAATTAAAAGCAGTAAAAATCAGAATGAGAAAAATCTTTAATCTTTAGCTTCACAAATACCAACTTTGAGCTGCAGAAGTCGTTAGCTTTATCACTTTCAAGTGTCAATCAGGCAGCAATACAATTTTAATTCCTAAATCACCGGAGAGTATTAGGTTATTTTGAAACATAATCAAAACGTGCCTAGACAATTATGTACTCTTAAAAAAAAAAAAAAGCCCCACATGTTGTTTTGTTTTATACTTTTTGAAATAAAAATGGTGACCTTTTTCATATGAAAAAAGAGTAATATTACGCTCACAATCTAGTCTTACAATTCTAACGTGACAGTTGAATTAGCAATTATTGTTTCTTAGGGACGAACATTTATTTCTTCATAAATGGTTATTCCTTATATGAGAACAATAATTCTTTATAAATAAACGATTGTTCGTCCTTAAAAAACAGTCGATTGTCTCTAAGAAATGGTTGTTCATGTTTAGTCAAAGTCATCAATAAATATGGTAGTGTCAATTCTATTGTCACGTTAAAGTTGTAAGAAAATATTATGAAATTAAATTATACACTTAATATTTTTCGTAAAAAAATGGCAGTCTACTTCATCCACATAGCAACTTCAGATCGCATTTTCGGTAGTTGTGTTAAGGGGAAACGACTTACACCTACCCAAGGTTTGGTGAAACGACGATTGGTATCCAAAAGGTTTCAAAACGACAAACAGGAACCTTCCGTTAGTGAAAAGACTAAAATACCCTTTGAGAAATATTAGTCTAGTTTTTTAATTACTTTTAGACCCCTTAAGTTTATTAATTCTATCAAATACCCCCCAAAAAAAGTTTAAAAATTAATAAAAACACCCCCACCCACCCATCTTGCCAGATTCCGGCAGCCACCGCCGGTGGTAGCCGGAATCTATCACAACGGTCTATGCCACCACCGGAAATGGCCAGTAATTCACCAGTTGGAATCTGGCAAGTATGGGTAAGTGGGGGTGTTTTTGTTAATTTTTAAACTTTTTTGTGAGGGTATTTGTGGAATTAATAAACTTAAGGGGCCTAAAAGTAATTAAAAAAATACTAATATTTCTCAAAGGGTATTCTAGTCTTTTCATTAGCAGAATGTATCTATTTGTCGTTTTGAAACCTTTTAGATATCAATATGTCGTTTCGCCAAAGCCTTGTGTTAATTACAAAAACAGTAGAACTCAGAAACTAGTGTTTCAGTGATTCCCTTGTCTCAGTCAGATTGCACGTTTGGGACAGTTTTATTAAATTTGAAATGAATAATGCTACATTTACATCATTCTTTTACACAATTTTCATTACATCATGATGTGATATATACCAAAACCATACAAAATTTTAATTATTTTGAATTTTTAATATTATAATAGAATTTATGTAATTGTGACATATGTAACATCATGATATAATAAAAATAATATGAAAAAGTGATATAAACATAACATTACTTATTTGAAATTATATAAATGAAATAGAAGTATCAAATTATATAAATTGAAATTGAAAACGTGTGGGTTAGTCCTGTCTTCATCTTTTTTAAATTGAAGGCAAGATTTGTCCACCGTACAAACATCTTGATCAAATCAATTAAATAAAATATCATGTTATACAATTATGACGTCAATGTGAAAACAGTACTTCAAAAAAAGTCTTTGCTATTGGTGGCTGTGGCGCGCGCGATGCACACCAACCCAAGCCAACGTGGCTTCCCATGACAACATTACGTATGTTGAAATAATGTTGTCGCTTTAGACATAACAATCGTACTAATTGAGATAGTCAAAATTTTGGTCTTAGCCCACACACGAAGACAACCCAATTTAAAGGAGTAAATGTCTTTTTCTAGTCCAAATGGTTTAATTACATTTCTCTACTTATAAACTTTTAAATAATATTATTTTTTATATTTAAATTCATATTTCATTTTTTATTCCTATATCGTTGCAATTCTATACCATCACTACTCTCTTTTATAATTATCACTTATCAAAACCAATCAAATCTTACTTCTGTTGACCTCATCAATCGTCGGTTAAACAGTCGTCTTTCTTAAGTCAAATTCCGATCAATCCTAACTATCAAAATTCAATATTTTAACATCCAAAAACTTATCAACCTTTCATCTTCAAAAGTCCTAACAGTCTAGACAGAGTTTACTTATTTCACGCAAATGTTCTGGATTTGGTGCACTGTTCTATTGTTTCTGGGCTACAATTTCATTGTGTTGGGCTGGTGTTTGGGGCAAATATCACTTCTATGGGGCTCCTTCTTTACTGCTTTGGTGCGAATACCATAATGTCTTTTTGGGGTCGGGGTATTCGCACCAAACCCATAAAAAGAACTTATTAATGGATATTGCATTCTTGCTGCTGTGATTAGCCGCCCCAACCCCGCTCGGGCCGACTCTAGAAAATGCCAATACTAGTCACCTTTGGTAACCCCGAATCCCATTGCCGGTGCTGGATGTTGCTCCTTCTG